GGCTGCTGCATTTGATTTTCGCGCCCCATTTGCTTGTTTCGACCCCCATGACGAAAGACCACCCCTTGCGACGAGGATCTTCTGTTGCATTTGATGTTCGCACCCCCCCCATTGCATTTGCCTGTTTCGACCCCCACGACGACAATCAAGGGAGGAAAAACCACGCGGACCCGACAACATGGCCTTTCGTTCATCTGCCCTGGGCGTTTTCTGAACACAGCCCTGCCCTGCTCGCGTCCTCCCCTGGGTGCGTTTACTAAACGACTTCGCGTGTCGGGGTGATCAATCATTATGAGGGTGGATTTTCTGTTTCCTAGAAAGGCCACCCCCTCCGCCCAGAACCACACCTGGGGCGGCCCCAGAGGGCGGAGGTCCCGAGGGCCACCTCGGAGGGCTCCTCCTCCTCCTCCTCCTCCGCCTCCTCCTCCTCGTCCTTTGATCGGCGGCGAGCCCACGGGGAAGTGAGAAGGGGCGGGCCTCCCCAGAAGGCTCGGAAGTCCCCCGGCGTTCTGAGAAGGTTTCTCGGCCTTCCCCGAGGGCACAGACAGCCTCTCGGAAGGCTGGAGCGCTTCTGAGAGGTCCCGCCGCCTTCTGAGAAGGCCGTCTCCTCACTTCCCCCCCTCGCTCGCTGCCGATTTTTGGCGCCTCCTCGGGACTTCTCGTCGTCGCGGCTGGGTCCGCCTCGACGAGCGGGTCGGGACGGATCCCTGGAGGTGTCCGGCGACCGATGTTGAGCGGATTTGGGCCAGGGCCGCTGTTGTCTCGAGTGTCCCTCCTCCGAAGGCGGCGTCCGCTGACCGCCTCGGAGGGCCACCCCGAAAGGCCATTCCAGGAGGTCCTTTCGAAGCTCTCTTCAATTCCAGATTTTTTCGCCAGGCCTTTCCACGTTTCGGGCACCCTGCAATTCAGGTTTATATCGGGCAGCTCTCTGGGGGCTACTTGGGTTGCCGATTAAGAAGCCGGAGCCGCAGAGCTGCCCTGAAGATCGTTCCGGTTTCCGAGGGCCCCTTCGCTAAGATCCTGGCGTCGCCTTTCCGTGCCACCCTGGGCGGTGCCGCCTCGCTTCGGGCGCCTCGCGGAGCGGTCCAGCTCGAGGAGCGCCGCAGGCAGACTGGGGTTTACACAGTGGAGGCCCATGCCAAGAAACGCTCTGCTTGCCCCCAGGGAACCCAGCGTTTCTTGGGTTTCGATGGTGCTGCCATGGAACAAGCGCGACGCTCCCACACCAAGAATCAACGGACGTCCTGAGGCCTCAGGGTTAGGCTCCTTGCGGCAGGTTTCCTGTGGACTGGCCTCCACTGTACGCACAGGGCTCCAGTCGTGGTTCTTTTCTGGAGGAACGAACAATGACATGAGCATAAAAGCTCGAAGGTCCGCGCGGAGTTCTCGAATCGGCGCTGGACCCCCCTCCCTGGCGCGCGCAGCGCGCCTTGGGCGGCTCCGGAGGCGCCGCCAGGGGGGTCCAGCTCGGGTCCGAGAAATCCGCGCGGACCTCCGAGTTTTTATGTTCATGCCAGTGTCCGCTTCCCTGCACAGGGCTCCGGTCGTGGTTCTTTTCGCGATGCGGCCGTCGGACCTCGGGGGCCCCCAAACGGTGTGGTGACCACACCGTGCGGTGAGTCGGTGGGGATTCGGGGTCACCGCACGGTTTTGGGACTCGGGTCGTTCTCCGAGGACGATTCGGGCGACTGGGGCGTCCGAGGTCCCAAGGCCGTGCGGTGGCGGACCGTGCGGTGAGGTCTTGGGGGGATTTCGAGGTCACCGCAGAGGTCTGTCGCCGCACCGTCTCGGGACTCCAAAGGATCTCGGGGGTCCGAGGACCGCCCGAAGGGCCCGCGGGGGGCCCCCTCGGAGGGGCCGCCGCCGCCGACCGCCTCCCGGGAGGGCCACTCGGGAGGCCTTCGGATCAGGGGCAGCGTCAGGGACGGGGGGGACTGGGCCAGGAGGGGGGGTCCTCCTTTCTCCTCCTCCTCCTCCTCCTCCCCTCCTCCTCCTCCTCCTCCTCCTCCTCCTTCTCCTCCTCCTCCTCCTCCTCGCTTCATCCAGGGGGGGGAGACTGGCCTAGGGTTCAGTCGGGCACGTCCCTCTTCAGGAGTAATATTCAAATAGTCCGAAAGTATTCTGGGCCCATCCGACGGGCTGTTGTGTCCAACCATCCTGTGGTGTTGGGTCCTCGTTTTGAAGAGACAGCGCCCCGCGTTCCTTCCTCCTCCCGCTGCCCTCTCCTTCCTCCTCGCATCATCGTCGTCATCAGCATCATCATCATCATCATCATCAACCACCACCACCACCACCACCATCATCATCACCCACACGAGGATCGTGGCCCTATAGGAGCTCCACCGGAGGCGCCAATAGCAAAGTGCGCATGGCGGCCTCGGGCCATTTCGGCACACCCCTCACGAGGATCGGGGCCCCAAAGGAGCTCCACCGAAAGCGCCAGTAGCAAAGTGCGCATGGCGGCCTCGGGCCATTCCGGCACACCCCTCACGAGGATCGTGGCCCCACAGGAGCCCCACCGAAGGTGCCAGTAGCAAAGTGCGCCAGGCGGCCTCGGGCCATGTCGGCACACCCCTCACGAGGATCGCGGCCCCATAGGAGCTCCACCAAAGGCGCCAGTAGCAAAGTGCGCATGGCGGCCCCGGCCTCTGGCCATTTACACTTTTTACAAAGATCGTGGCCCCATAGGAGCTCCATCGAAGGCGCCAGTAGCAAAGTGCGCATGGCGGGCCATTTCGGCACACCCCTCACAAGGATCGTGGCCCCATAGGAGCTCCACCGAAGGGGCCAGTGGCAAAGTGCGCATGGTGGCCCCGGGCCATTTCGGCACACCCCTCACGAGGATCGTGGCCCCATAGGGGCTCCACCGAAGGCGCCAGTGGCAGGGTTCGCATGGCGGCCTCGGGCCATTTCGGCACACCCCTCACGAGGATCGTGGCCCCATAGGAGATCCACCGAAGGCGCCAGTGGCAAAGGCAAAGTGCGCATGGCGGCCTCGGGCCATTTCGGCACACCCCTCACGAGGATCGTGGCCCCACAGGGAGCTCCACCGAAGGCCCCCAGTGGCAGGGTTCGCACGGCGGCCTCGGGCCATTCCGGCACACCCCTCACGAGGATCGTGGCCCCATAGGAGCTCCACCGAAGGCGCCAGCGGCAGGGTTCGCTTGGCGGCCTCGGGCCATTTCGGCACACCCCTCGCGAGGATCGTGGCCACATAGGGAGCTTCACCGAAGGCGCCAGTGGCAGGGTTCGCATGGCGGCCTCGGGCCATTTCGGCACACCCCTCACGAGGATCGTGGCCCCATAGGGAGGGGTTCGCACGGCGGCCTCGGGCCATTGCGGCACACCTCTCACGAGCATCGGGGCCCCATAGGGAGCTCCACCGAAGGCCCCCAGTGGCAGGGTTCCCATGGCGGCCTCGGGCCATTTCGGCACACCCGTCACGAGGATCGTGGCCCCATGGTTGTGCTGCTTCAACAACCGCGCCTGGGCGTCGTACTCCGCCTTCTCGACGTGCGCTGACACGTCCTCCCTCATGGCTCTCGAAGCCCTCTCCTGCTTCTGCTCCTCGGTCAGAGGGACGCCGTCCTTGTCGTCGTCGGCGCCCGACAACCTCTTCCTGCTCCCGCCTCCTAATCTTCCTCCTGATAAAGATGATGGTGATGATGATGGTGATTGTGGTGGTGATGATGGTGATGATGATGCTGCTGGTGATAATGATGATGGTGGTGATGGCGGTGGTGATGATGGTGGTCATGGTGAAGGTGATGGTATGGTGTTTGTGATTAGTCATGGGCCATGGTTATGGTGATGATGATAAGGGTGAGTATGATGATGATGCTGATGATGATGGTGGTGGTGATGGTTATGGTGATGATGACGATGATGATGATGATGATGATGGTATCGATGATGATGATGATGATGATGATGATGATGATGATGATGATGATGATGATGATGATGATGATGATGATGAGCATGCTGATGATTATGGTGCTGATGCTGATGGTGGTGATGACGATGATGCTGATCATGATATTGATGATGATCATGATCGTGATGATGATGACGGTGCTGATGATGAGGATGAGAATGATGAAGATGGTGACGATGATGCCGATTTCAAGCTCTTGCCCGCCGTCCCCAACAGCACAATCAGGAGCTGGCGGCTGTCTTCGGAAAGGTGGCGTTCGAGAACGCCGAGATTCGGACCTTCTCATGGGCGCCCGTGTGCGACCCAACCGTGACCCCCAGGGACCGTACGAACCCCTGGGCCCTGCAGCTCAAGAGCGACCTGCTTCTCCTGGGGAAACCTCGAGGGGGACTGGACCTCCTGGAGGACGTAGGCGATGACCACATGCGGGTCTTCCTGGTTCCCGCGCTGACGGAGAGATTTCTCAATTTCGACGATGCGAAGCTACGAAAACTCCTGGCCTGAGAGCCCCACGGCGGCGGCGACGCGGCAATACGGGGATCAGGAGTGTTTCGAGGGCGGCGTCCTGTGTTCACTGCTGTGCGGGGAGGGGGTGTAGTGCAGCCGAAGATTCAGAACCATGGGAGCCCTCAGAATGCACCAGACACGCAAACAGGAGGAGGAGAGCACGGCAAGTTGAATTTCTTCACGCGCTTGACGGTGACCAATCAATGCCCTGCGTGCCGGTCGACATTCGCATGCCTCCGCTTTGCCTTTCATCACATCACAGCTGCTTACCGGCATGAACGATGCATTGCAGACCGCTCAGTCTACAATCATCCCGTCATCCCTCCGCAGGTACTTGATTGTCCTAAGACGAATTGTGACGCGGAGTTTGACGATCTCACCTCTCTTCAAAAGCATATCTGCAGCAGTCACTTTCCGAACCCACGGCCTCAGCGCTTGCCAGACATCAGCGAGAAGGACGACACCGAGGGCCGCGCACGGAAGGCTGCCAGAGGAGGTCGCAAAGGCTCTGGGGGGCAAAGCCGACAGCTCCAGAGGCCAGGGCTCGAACGACCAGATGCCGAGGAAGAAGGACACCAAGATAGTGGACCTTAGCGAGCCCGACGACGGCGAGATAGACGCAGCCAAGATGCAGAAGTTTTTGACTGTGATGATGCGGCTGCTGCTGAACCTGGCACACCGGCAGCAGCAGATCGAGTCGGTCGAGTTGGAGGCATTCATCATGTCGTCGGGGTTGCAGCCAGCAGTGAAGGCGAGAGGACGAGTACGCGCGCGGATACGCGCAACAGAGGACAGCAGGGCCAACAACAAGAAGCAGCAGAGCGACGAGAAGATCAAGCAGATGGGCACAATCTCGGCGGCGTGCTATGCAGGCGTGTTCGAGGGGCTCCAGGACGAGGGCAACGCGGTAGGGCAGGTGAACCAGCAGAACCTCGAGACTTTGGCGAGCGAGCAGGCAGGCAAAGCTGGCGGTCGCCGAGATGGGCGAGGTGGCCCCGCTGGCGAGCGGCAGGCTGAACATGGCGCCCGTGCTGGACTCGCTGACCCAGGCGGGAGCGGACGACAAGCAGGGAATGGCCCCGATGGGCCACTTCGAGAGATTTGTCCACACAGGTCTCCACGAGCTCGACGGGGCGACGTTCGACTGAACGTGGAGGAGATGGCCTTAGAGAGGCCCAGGGAGAGACGACAACGACACTCTGAGATGGTGAGTATGTTGTGCCAGGCTGCCCTAAGAGCCCAGGAGACCCCCACTCCTCCTCCGATTTCGGATTCCCCCGTTTCTCCTCCTCCTCCTCCTCCTTCCTCCTCCTCCTCCGCCTCCTCCTCCTCCTCTCCTCCTCCTCCTCCTCCTCCTCCTCCTCCTCCTCCTCCTCCTCCTCCTCCTCCTCCTCCTCCTCCTCCTCTTCCACCCCCGAATGAGTCACATAGCTCGTGGGGGGACCTTCCGCGGAGTTCGAGGCCTCCGAGGAGGCCTGCCTTGGTGCCAGGGGCCCGTGCCACGAGCCAAATTGAGTTTTCCGAGAGTTGGAACACGGCCGATCAGGACGCTGCTCTGAGGCTTCTGTTGGGCGCATCGCGGCAGTGATTGTGAGCAGTTGCAGGCCGCGAGATGCACGGTCGCGCATCGCATATTTACGCTCGGGTTTATCCCGATCCTAGAGGCATTGGGTGGGCGTGGGATCGACAGCGCCGCTTCCGATGGATTCGTATTCGTATTTGTGACGGTGACGGTGACGGCGGTGATGGTTGTGATGGTGGTGGGGGTGATGACGGTGATGGTGGTGGAGACGCGGGTAATGATGATGATGATGGTGGTGATGATGATGATGATGATGAGTGGTGATGAGCATTGCCATCATCACCAGCGTCATCATCAGAAGCAGCATCATCACCATCGCATCATCACCGGCAGCAGCATCATCAGCATCATCGTCATCCTCCTCATCCATCCTCTGTCCTCCACCCTCTCCTGCCAACTTCTCCATCCGCGCCGCGATGCCCCACGGAGGCGCGCGTGGCAGAGCTCGACGCGGACGGCGCCCGCCTGCGGGGGGAGCTGGAGCAGCTGCGGGAGGAGTTGCGGGCGGCCTCCGCGGGCGGGGAGGAGGCCCGCCGCCGAGCATGCGTTGCGCACCCCTGGGGGGGGGGGCGGGGGGAGCCGCACCCCTCCCCCCAGAGGACTCCTGCTCCAGACGCGGACGGCAGCGACGACGACGGCCACGGCCATGGAGGCAACGACGACGGAGGCAACGGAGGCGACGACGTTGCAGCGCGGCAGAGGCAGTCCGCACGCGCGCTCGGGCAAGCCGGGTGACGGCGTTGCGAATACTCCAGCAGCAAGAGAGAAAACATAGGGGGGGGGAGGGAAGCGACCGCGGGCGGGGAGGGAGGAGGGACAACGCTCACGCGGCGGGGCCCGACGACGGCCAACACGCCGCGCGGGAAGAGCGCGGCTCGTGAACAAATCAGCGGAAGTGCCAGGCACGAGCGCGGTTCCTGAAAGATCGGTTGCGTGCAAGCGTGGCTTTTTGCCGGAGGGTTTTTGGTACGCAGCTGTCGGGGGGCGCTGCGGGGCAAAGCCCAAGCATGCGGGACATTTGGGTGTTGTTCGTTCGCATGACACTCAACATGTACCCAGAACCCTCGACTCCCGACCTCTTCGTTTATGAGCGCATCGCATTCGGGAGGGGGCGCTACCGGCTGCGTGGAAAGCCCCAACGAGGTAAAAAGGGGCCGGACGGGCGGGCGGGCCCAAGCGGGCGGGTCAGGGCGCTTCCAAGCAAGCGCACTGGGCGGGCCCCAACCCCTAAAAGGGGCAGGCCGGGCTGGGCGGACCCTTACGGGCGGGCCTGGAGGACATGGACGGGCGGGTCGGCAGATGGGCCTCGGTCGGGTCTGGTGGCGAGGACGTTTCAGCGGGCGTGTGGGCGGGCTTCCAAGCAGGCGAACGGGGGCCCTAACGGGGGGGGGGAGGTCACGCGGGCGGGTCGGGCTCGTTCATGTTGCAACTCCCCAAATCTCAGGCCGATTCATTATCAGATTTCCACATACGATTATAGCAGGCATGACACTTGGCCCCCAAGGGGGGGACACTGCCAGGGGGTACATCACGGGCCAGTTCACTGTTGTCGGGACCTGTCGGTTGGGATGGCCGTTTTCGGTGGTAGATGCATGTCTTTTCAGGGTCCCATGATCACCGCGATCAAGCGCGGCATGCATGGCACTTGGGCCTCCCAAGAGGGACCCGCCAGGATGTACATCACCAGCCCCGGCACACCCGGATTGTCTGCTTGACTCGCTCATACTCGGACGCACTCATACGCAGACACTTCGACATGGAAACGATGGAGAAGACGTGCATTCATGGAGATTCCCGCGTCGAACAAGTATCGATTGGCCCTCGGCTCATCCCGCCACTGCGCCGGAGTTGTAGGTCAGAGGCCTCTCGGGGCCTCTTGGCCCGTTTGGGGGGTGGGGGGCTCCGAAAAAGTCATGCGGGAAGCGCCAGGGAACCGTGGGAGGCACCCTGGGAACCCTGGAAAATTTAAGAATGTCGGGTCCAGGCCCCTTAGTTCTCAATCCTGAGGACCGAGAAATTGAGGACTACAAGGGACCTCAGAGCACTCCAACTCGTGCCTCCCGGCACGGTGGCGGATTCTTCGGATGTGGGATGAGAATCCAGCCATAACATCAACAATCATGCGAATGGTGCTCGCATCTGTCAGTCTGTGAGCCGCTTTGCACGTATACTGTACCCTGTTCCACCGATTGCCGCCTTCTTCGTTTTCGATCGTACCCCTGTGGGTAAGGTCTCCCCCCATGCGGGGGCGGGCAGACCTCAGAGGACGAGCAGACGGATACACCAGAACGGGTGGTCGGGTCGGTGCTGGCGGGCCCTAAGTCTCGGGACGATCGAAATCGGTACGGAACGAACGGGTACAATGCCCCACAGCAGTTCCCGTTTATTTTGAACCAGACTCGCTGTCCGCGCCGCCGCGGACGTTGTTCTTTGCGGACAACAAGCCGTCTGCCCAACAGCGGCCGCTGTCGGTTTTGGACAACATTTGTTGTTCGGCATTGTGTCAATTTTCTCCGTACCCGTTCCGGGCGTCCAAAAAGTCAGGCGGCCCTGGGGGCTTGTCAGACGCGGCGGGCGGGCGGACATGAAAGCGGGCGGGCGGAGCGCGCAGCTCTTGGTAAGATGATGAAGAGATGTCAAGCGAGAGCGCGATGCCTGGATGGCGGGAGCGCAGTTTTTTTTCTGAGCCATGCGAGGGGAGGGCTCCTCCTCCTCCTCCGCCTCGTCCTCCTCCTCCTCCTCCTCCTCCTCCTCCTCCTCCTTCAATGCGAGAGCGCGGCTCCCGAGCGGCGAGGGCGCGGCTCGTATATTCATTATTTGCGGGGAGGTCTCGGGCGAGAGCGCGATTCCTGAGCAGAGCGTGGAGAAGTCTCGGGCGAGAGCGCGGGCCCTGAGTAAACTGTGAGGACCTTAGTGGCCTCGATACGCCCGTTTTCAAACGCAACACTTCCCGTGTTCAAGGCGTCCGTGTCAATACGTTGCGTGTTGGCTCCACGTATTGGACAACGTGTTGGCGAACGTATCGCGTCGTACCTTCGTTTTCAGCTTACGTGCTGAGCTCCGTATCAATACGATACGTGTTGCGTGTTGCGTACCGGGGCAGCTAAGATGAGGACGTCTCAGGCGAGAGCGGTTGTTGATGTACCGTGGGGCCCGAGGCACATTCTGAGCTCCAATGCTGTTCCTTGAACAGCCGAGAATCATGGTGACATCGCCGAGGGGCACACTTCAACCGAGAAGCAACAATCGGCACCAGACTGGAGGTATCGATAACCATTATTAGTCGGAAGGGAGTTGTCGGGGTGCCAGCAGCAGCAGCATCATCCGTACGATTATCATTGTCTGTGTTGCGCAGTTCTCGGGCACAACAGTCTGGCGGCACTGTGGAAGAACCAGGTTGTGAACGAAGCGAGAAAGGTGCAGCAATACTGTGTAAGAAAACGGCCAGACAGCCCACTGTAGGTAGCAGCCTGGTGTGGCCAGAGGAGTCGAGGCTCCCCAGCCAGCCAGAATCATTATAGCATTACGAATCGAGACGCAAGTGAGACCGATCTCGTCCTTAACTTGAATTCCTTGGAGATCGGTAGCCCGGTGACGGCAGCAGGTCGTGGTTGGCAAGGTAATGTCTATGAACGGCGCTGGTGGGTGAGGATGAGTTGGCGGGGAAGACGAGGACATTCAGCAGGGGGGCAAGGAAAAGTAGTGATGAAGAATAAGAATAAAAAGAAAAAGAAAAAAGTTCCTGGTCTTGAGCAGTGTGTGGGTGAAGCTGCATGGAAATCCGCAGGCCTGGTTGCACTGCACTTGGAGTGGAGCTCAATATTTACCGTCGGCTGGTCCATCGATGCACGTATGAACCATAAGGTGACAGAACACACAACACACACACACGCAACAAACATCAAGAGGCACTCATGCCCTGGCTTCTGCATAATCAGGTAAAGATGGGGGCTGGAGCGAGGGCCACGGGTGGGCCAGGGGAGGGGGGAGGGGGGACGAGGGACGACCACGACGAAAATGAAGGGTTCTGAGCTTTGGAACACAGCTGCGCAAGAGAATAAAAGGGTCGGGGAGTCGGCAATGGGGCAGGCCAGGGGCAAGGGAGGGAGAGGGGGCAGGTGGGCGTGGCCCTGGACGTCACTGCCTGATGGGGGCGGGCCAGGGACAGGGGGGGGAGTGTGAGGGGCGAGGACGGACGACCACGAACGACCGAACGAACGAAAATGAAGGTTCGGGGGGCACTGAGTGTGGGGTGGGAGGGGGGAGGCATAAGGCCAGAGGAAGAGTAGTGGGGACGGTGGGCAGGTGGATGTGGCCCTGGACCGGGGGCGAGGGCAACGGCCTGACGGGGGAGGGGCGGCAGTGGGGGGGGGGCGAAGACGAACGACCACGAACGAACGAACGAACGAAAGTCAAGAGGTCAGAGCTCTGGAGCACAGCTGTGCAAGCGAAGAAACACCCCGAAACAATCAACATGAACTTCTCACCCTTCAGCATTTAAGGGCGGACCGCACTTGCACATCTGGGAGACAGCATGACATTCGCTATCCCCTTGATCTGTCCCATCCTCCTCATTGCCCTTCCCCTCCACGCGTCATGATCATTATCCTCATTCCCTCCCCTCCTCCACTCCCCGTCCGCCTCATCATCACCCTCCTCGTGATATCCCCCCTCACATCCTTTTCGTACACCTCGCCCCCTCTTGTTTCCCTCCCAGAATCATTGCCCTCTTATTGTTATATCCCTCCTTTTTCATTGTCGTCATTATCCCATCCCCATTCCGCATCATCCTCCCTACCTTTTCCCGACCTTCCTCCTGACAGCAAGCCTGATCGCCCTCCCCATCCTTCACCCCGCCCCAATCCTCCCCGTCGTCATCATATCCGTCGCCAGTTTGGCTCAAGCCATTTTGGCTCAAGACCCAAAGTTCCCCCAGGGCCAAAGTGGATAACTCTGATCCAGGGCCAGGTTACAGCAAGTTTACCCTGCACGGTCATCACGGTGACCTACCCAGCGGACATGAAATACGTTCACCTTTCCCTCAGGCACCCGCGGCTGTGGGTAAATTGCAGCATTTCAAGTTCATGTAGCCGCATGTGCCTGCAGCCATATTACGCGAATCACTCCAGCCTCACCCGTCGTCAGCATGGGGCGAGGCGCGTCAAGAAGCATGGTGGCCAGGGGCGTGCTCGGCTTGAGTCCTCCAGAACGACAGGACTGTTCGAGATGGGCGAGTCGCAGGAGCGCCACCTTGAGATGCACGGACGCCACTCCCATCACCGTCGTCGTCGGGGGCTTAGTCGCGAGCGAGATCCTAGTAATGACCTTCGCGAACGTGATCGCCGCCGTACTTCATCCGGGAAGTCCTCCATATCAGAAGGTTTCCCGCACGCGTGCACTCCAATTGGTGGGACCGACATTCAGATTGCGCCATCGACGGGTGCCCCGTCGGAAGCGCTTTCGGGCACAGTCGGCGCTGACTCAGCATGATGCCAAGGTGAGGAAGATCAATGAGAGGTTCATCAATG